GGCAAATGCCAGTCGAGGTGGGCTTGGCTGAAGCACCCAGAGGAGTAACTCACACTTGTTAGGAAATGGGACATCGCTGTGAGCTCACACAGTGGAAAACCACAGGGATGAGTCACTCTCCGGGGTCAGATCACATCTCAGCTCCATCACCACTCGCTTATCTCCCCGGCATCCCAGGCAAAGGGAGCTGGTGCCAGTGCAACCCATAGAAGCCATGCTGGGGGGACTCAGCGTGAGCAGAAAAACTGGAAAAACTTCCTAATGGGAGTACCGGGAGCAAAACCCTCCTAAGCACATTTGAGACGGAGGCTTGCCACATCCTAGAGGGAGGACAGAAGGCAGCACTTACAAATCAGGGCTTGGATCTGACAAGTGATGAAGACCCGCTGTCCCTCACAGACGTGGTTTTGGAGCTGCTCTCTCCTAAGCTCTGCGTTTGGCTGCTTTGTGAGGAACCACTCTATCTTTTCAACCCTATTGGCACCGTTCCCCTGATTATCCCTCCCCCCAGATATCTGATCCTGGCACATCTCGTACTGAATTAATGAAGCGATAACATTGCTCTCATGTCACTAATGGCACTGTTGCAATGCCCACTGTTAGACCTCTCTATCCACAATCCCAGACACCCACATTTCCTCACTTTGGCGTGCTGGCTCTTGCATGCTGCTGCCTTTTCTGCAAGCGTTTAGTCTCTTCTTGCTGTCCCTGCTTGTCTTCCAAAAGCGACTTTAACCATTTTGCAGCAAACGTTTGCAAGACAGTTGTTACTTTAACACACGGTTTGATTTCTTGATCGTTTCTGATTAGTTTGACCTCAAGTGGGAGCAGCACTTCTCTTTTCATAGCTGGAAGGGGAACAGGCTTGGATTTGGCTTTAAGCACCTACGGAAAACCAATACACTTGACCTGCGAATTGCTGTTCATGGGAGCATCAATTTGCTTCATGAAAGCCTTAGTGAAATTCAAGATTAATCTCCAGGTGTTAAAGGGAATAGAGACCTTACATTAAATGTGAATTGCGCTTCCCTCTGGAATAGGAGAGGGTGTGTTTCATACAGAGGACAACATCCCTGTGATTTGCAGCCCTGTTACCATAAACTGAGATCCCACGGGATGTCACAAGCCAAGTGTTGATTTTGCACTTCACCTGGTGCGTGTGAGGGCTGCTGAGCGGTGAGACTCCAGCTGTGGATGTCAGATTCCAGGCTTGGGGTCTGGGTAAGCATCTAGCTGGAAGATGAAAGGAAAAGGATTAAAAGTCACCCTGGTGGCTTGCCAAATGGCGTTTTACCAGATGGCTCTGCCCTGCTCTTCCCAAGCCCCCAAGAGCTGTCTGGCGGGTACCTTTCATAAGCAAGAAAGATTTTTCCTGGGGAGGATTTTCCCTGTGATATCCAGTTCCTGATGTTGCAAAATCAGGTGCAAAAGCCAGGGTAAGACCCCAGGATTATTTCAAGCTTCATTCCCCCATAGCTGCAAATCCCGATCCAGCAGCCAGGTCCAGGCTTTGGGCACTTGCTGCTCCTCCACAGCCCCCACATTTTGCCCATCAGCATCTGCCATTCCCCGAAGCACTGGCACCTTTGACCAGCCCAGGCGGCAGCAGCAGGCTGAGCCCCAATCCCATCCCCTCCTCCCCAGATAAATCCAAATCTGTCAGCGAAGCATTTTTGCAGAGTTGGAAATCAGGGCAGAATAATTTCACCGCATTCATTTGCTCGGTATGTTTAAAGGAGGTTTATTACTTCATGTAATTACTAGTGCCCAGAATATCTCCCCCCCGCCCTGGCCAGGTGGCTTCGCACATGACACTGCAGTATGTCACCTCAACCCTGCTCCTTCCCATCTACCAGCCTCCTGCTTGTCCTGCTGCTCCCCACCGCACCCACGCCCAGTTAAAGATGGGTTTCGTGACGGTGGCTTGCTGTCCTGGCCCAGCACCTCACACCCCCCAGCCCCTCGCAGCAAGCTGGCTCGTGGCCCAAAGGGACAGAAGAGTTTCAGGCAGGTCTGGGTTGACAGGAGATGACTGCAAAGAGAAGAGCTTTGGCAGCTTGCTTGAAGATGCCGTGCAGCTGAAGCTAAACCATCACCCGAAAGGGGCTCACCAGCTTCCCCAGGGCTTGCTGGTTCTGGAGGCACTTTGCAGGGAGAGCACAGATGTCTGCAGCCACCGCTGTCACAGCAATAGCTGTCCTTCCAGTTCCAGCCTCGCTTCTCGAGAAACGCCCCTGCCCTCTCCCTGTGCCAAGAGTAATACCTGCTTCCACACGATGCTTTCCACTGCAGATCCGTATCCCCTTCGCACACCGGGACACTGAGGCACACGGTGGCATGGGACGTGCCCGAGATCATGCAATAAGCTGAACGTGCCTCTTGTTTTTCAGATCAGCAATGTAGCCTTCTTTGTCCTCGCTCCTGTCCTGCTCTACCTGAACCGGCAGTACCGCCAGCAGCGCCCCGTGCCCTTGTACATCGTCTCTGCCCTGCTCCTCTGCGTAGGTGGGTGCCAAGGCTGGGAGAAGATTGGACAGGTTGCCAGAGTACCCGACTGTTCACTCATGATACCTTAGTCGCCAAAGCACGGGGGCAGGCTGGGGTGAGAAACCAAACAGCCGCGTCTGTTGGAAGCCCTGCAGCTCGTGGTTCCTGCACAGCTTCCAGCCCAGTAAATCCCCGTGGTGCTGTGTGGACTGACTCACTCAGGCCTCTGTTAACACCAAGGTCCATGCCCTGCTCTTCAGGAACGGTGTGTCTTTAGGAATGGTCCCCAAGAACTTCCCAGGCCAGGTGGGCTTGTGCAAGGGTGGAGCTTTGCTGACACAAGCTGTCCTTGCCCCTCTCAGGTATCTTCTCCACGTACTTTCACATGACCCTGAGCTATGTGGGACAACTCTTGGATGAGCTCTCCATCCTCTGGACGCTGGCTGTAGCGTATTCCTTCTGGTACCCAAAGATTTACTTCCCCAGGTGCATCAAGAGCAGGTACAACTCAGAGGGACACAGGGTTGCAGGCTCTGAGGGGAGGGATGGGACACTGACATCTGTGTGACCCACAGGTCTCCCCCACCAGCCCCCAGCCCACTCCCCTGAATTGAGGTTCCTGCAGTTTGCTTTGGGACCAGACCCTCCGATACTCTGCCAGTGGAAGAGGAAGAAACCATCCTTTGGGGAAGGGCTGTGCTGGGCTCCTGTCGACTGGAGCTGTTTGTCTTTGCAAAGCTGCAGAGGAAACTTTGCATGGGGAATTTCAAACTGAATTAGGAAATGAAATGTTCCTGAGCCCTGGCGTTCAATTACCCATGCTGTCACACTGTCACAGCATCCCCTGCCATCCGCGGGGAGCTTTCCCTGGAGGCTGATGGGGTCCCTCCCCCGTTACCACCCCACATTTCAAAGGCTGTTTGCAGAAGGGCTGGCTGGGCTAGAGGAGCTTGGCAGAAAGGATGGGGATACTGGGCGAGCATGGATCAGCAGAAGCAGGAACCCAGCAGGGCTGTGCTCAGAGGATGGTCCATCCTGGCAGGCTTGCTGGAGCCCCCTGAGCCAGCCCAGTTAGAAGCCTTGCAAAGGTCTGCTCCAGGTCTGCCAAGGAGGAGGTCACCAGGAGTTCACTGTGGAGACAGGCTGGGGGAGAGGGGAAGGGACTTGGGAAGGGATTTGCATGTGAAAGGCCCCTCTGAGCCCTATTGTTATTGGGTCAGCCCCAACCTGCATGTTTGCAGGGCTCCAGCCCCTGCCCCTGCTGGGACTCCTGCTTTGCAGCCCTTCCCTGTGCAAAGCTCTGATGCCTTTTGCCTCTCGATGGTCATCTCTGGCACCACCGTCAAAGTGCACCAGTTACCTCTAGGCTGTGTTCCCCACTCTGTCATGGACTAACTGGAGGGCTTTGGGCAAAGCACAGATATAAACCGATAGCTCAGCCTTCCTGCCAGGACTCTTGCAGAGGCTGAGGTCAGCCATGTGCAAACAGATCGGAGGTACTGGAGAAGGGTTTCCTCTCTCAGGCAACCTCTCCCACCTTTATCGTTCCATCCTGTGAACCTCAGGGGCACTGAGCTAACTCCCAACTCCCCTTAGGAAGCAATTCTTCTGGTTGAGTGGTGTCACTACCGTGATCAGTACCTTGCTGTCCTTCATCAAACCATCCGTCAATGCCTACGCGCTCAACGGCATCGCCTTCCACCTGCTGTACCTGGTCTGGCGTGAGCTGAAAAAGTAAGGAGGGGGCTGAGAGGGGTTATCTGCAAGCCCATTGCACGTTCCTGGCAGGTTCACCCGTGGCAGTGACTCTGTGCATGACAGTGACTCGAACCCAAGTTTTTATCAGCCACATGTTGGACTACCAGTTCTGCAAAGAGTTGGGGCAGCCTGCGAGGGACGAGGAAGAGGCGCAGGCAGGACTGAGGGCAGTGGGATACTAGAAGGCCATCTGGCCCAGGTGCCACACAGAATGGGGACAATCCATGGGACAAGTGCATCTTCTCCTCCCTAGATGCCATTTCTGCAGCTCTTTTCCCTTTGTGGGGGACTTGGGAACCAGTGTGGGGTTGGGAGAACCCCCCAGGGTCTGGGGAGAAAGACAGGAGTGCCCTGGTATCTCGTAGCATCATCCCCACCCACAGAAAGTCAGGAACTCCCTCTACAGAGCCACACTTCTCCAGTTCTTGTGGTCTGATGAATACCCTCCAGAAGAAACTTGCTGGGTTTTGCCCTGTTGCATTAGCACTTGCAGACAGGAACCTGTCCCCTTTAAAACTCTCTTTCCAATACAATACTCTGCTCCCTCTCCCTCGCTATGTCTTCCAGGTGTGATGACAAAAGGGTTCACCGGATGGCTGCAGTCATGGTCATTTGGTGGCTACTGGCCATCACCAGCTGGATCAGTGACAGGTGGCTCTGCGGGCTCTGGCAGGCGATCAACTTCCCCTACTTCCACAGCTTCTGGTGAGTGCTCTAGCATAGGGGCAGGAACCCCAGCCCAAACATTTCAGGGGCTGAAGGGCCACAGCTAAAGAGAAACGGCAGCAGGGATGTGATACTCAACCAGGGAGCTGCCGCATCTCTGCCAAACCCTCTGTCCCTTTCCTCTGTCGCTATTGATGCTGCTCCTCATCCTGGCCCCAGCACAAAGGATTTGCTCCTAATCACTGCTTCATATCCCTTACCTCCTCCGCGCTACCCAAACGGTGTTTTGGGAGTGAAATTGTTCTAAAAGTCCCTCCAGCTAGGCAGCTTGCTTCCAAAGGGCTGCACCTCCTCCCTGGAAGCTGCACGAGGTGCAATGTTCTTGGAGTTATTTTAACAGCCAGACTGAAAGACAGCGATTTGCTTGGGCAAGACATTTCAGCGTCTGCCCAAATGTGGCTGTAAGTGCTGCACACAGCGCGCATTCTCGGATTTATCCTCAGAAACCACCGGGATGACTGGGGCAGATGCCCAGCGCTGCTGGGCTGGGCGAGGCAAGGTGGAATGGGTGGTTCGGGGCCAAAGTCCTTTATATCACCCCATCCCTGCTGCTCACGGAACGGTGCCAGCCTGGGCTCGCACAGCTCTTCTAGGATTTCCCCACGGTCACAATCCCTGCGGGACCCACACTCCCTTCAGCCCTCATGCATCACAGGACTGGGACCTTTCCCTGCCATTGCCGTACCCCTGACTCCAGCCTCGCAGCGGCAAAGCCGGCCGGAGCAGATGGAGTTACCCCCGTCCAACACGTGGCTTTTTGGTTTCCTTTTCAGGCACGTGCTGATAGCCATGTCCCTCCTGTACTGCTGCCCACTGGTCATATATTTTGATGTCATCTACGAGATGCCATCCTTCAAGCCAAAGCTGGAATATTGGCCCAGCAACTCCTGGCCTGTCGTGGTGCCTTACGTTGCCCTGGAGGAACCCCACAAACAGTGCTAGAGCTGGTCACCCTCAGGCATCCCTCGGGCACGGGGTGCGTGATGCACACGGGTGCGTCTGCACGGGGAGCACCTCAACTGCGTGCCTGGTCCTCGGAGAAGGGCAATGTGGCTAATGGATGGGGCAGGGAGCAGCTGAGGCCTCGTGATGCTGGGCATGAAGCAGGGTGGTAGCCCACAGGTGCCTTGGAAGACTCTGCCCAGACTGGCATCCGGGGAATCAAAGATCTCCTCCTCCTCCAGCAGATCCCCACAGAGAAGGGGAGGGAGATGGTGCTTCTTCTGTGTCTTCTGCATTAGGCAAGAGCTGGCACCCCTTCCTGACAAGGGCACAGCGGAGAACACAGAAGCCAAACTGGTGACAGCTGGGTTTGTGGGGGCTGCTCTAATTATTATTCTTAATTTTATTTATTGATGGATGTGGTCTCACTCAGGAGAGCTGTACATTAAAGCTACGGACACTGACTTGCACTGAGCCCCTTTCTTTCCCCTGACTGCACCACGTCCCCCATTATCTCCCAGTTGCTCCCCCAGACAGCGTGGCCAAACCTCTCTCTGACCTAGGGAGAGCTGTTGACACAGAGAAATCCTCCTGGGTGACAGCCCAAAAGAGGCGCTGCCTGCCCAGGTCCTGGGTTGCTCTACTCCAAGCTCTACCCCTTCTCCAGCCCCAGTGGCCCTTGTTCCCCTCCAGCTGTGACAGTCTCCAATGGCCATGTGTCACTCGGCAGACTCCCCTGCTGGCTGCAAAGGCTGGCTGGTGGCAGAGAGGAAGGTAAGGAGCCCATACGTTAGATAAACACATCAGGACCTTTGCAAGAACAAAGAGAAAATGTAAAGCCCCAGAGAAAGCCCGCTGCTGTGCCACGGGTACAGAGCGATGCTCTCCGGGTTCTCCCCATAGCATAACAGCCATGAAGTTGCTCTCACGGCCACAGGAGATGCTCTTGTTCTCCGAGCCTTGAGCTGAGCACTGTCGTGGGTCTGGGTCCTCGTACAACCAGCGGGGACTCTCTCTGGAGAGCAGCAGGAGGCTGGCAGAGCGGCTGAGGCTGGCTGCCTGCAATGCTGCCACGACAAGGTCACACCACTCCAGGGACCAGGGGCTTTTTAACCCCTGTGAATAAAGCAGAAGGAGCAGCACTGCGGGCTCAGCCTCTGAGGCAGAAGGTGTTGTACCGCCTGCCACGCAGCGCCCATGCCACGGCCCTCCCGGGGCTGCTGCTGCCTCGTGGGTCCCTCTGCAATGGTCCCCAGAGCCACTAGATGGCAAATTTGGCTCATGAACCCGGAGCAATATTTCATCTGGGAGGAGGTATGCTGTGCACAAGGACTGAACCCCCAGGCCTGCTCCCTCTGATCTCTCCATCCCCCAGCACCGGGGTCAGACACCTTTCCACCAGCCTGGCCACCGATGCAA